GGTCTCCCCCCGTCCGAGGAGGCCCGTCAGGAGCAGCACCGTATCGCTTCCGGCCGAATCCTTCCTCTCCCCATTTTCCGAGGTACGCAACGATTTTCCTACCAATTTCCCTCTCCCTCTCCTTCCTTTCTTTCCCACCGATTCTTCGATAAGAGGAGAGACAGCGCAAGACAGCGTACCCTAAAAGAGTTCAAACGAATTTATTATCCACGAATTCGAAAGAAAATTGGTCGACGAGCCAAATCCAATAATTACGATTTACCCTGATCCGCAGAAAACGAGCGTGCGATTGGAGGATTACGTTCCAAGGTCCGATAACCTATCGCCGTATCAGGTCATAGAGAAGTTGAGCAGAGCGAACGGGATGGTGAAAGAATACGAGTACGTAAAGTACGACTCGAGCGGAGGGGAGCATTGGGAATTAAGCGACATCGGATACTCGGAAATTCAGGTAAATTCGTTCGAACGTTTATAGAGTCGAGTCGAATTCCCAAAATTCGAGAACGGAGATGAATAACGGGATACAAGAAAAGGGATTTCCAGGATAAGAGTTGGGGCGAGGACGCGGAGAAGGAGGTCGATCCCTCGATCGACTCGAAAGAAGACGACGAAAGGAGATCCCCTTCGACGAACGGCCGCGTTCCCGAATCTCCCGTCTACTCGGAGAAGCCCGAAGCGTTTGGAAAAACGGGGGAGTCCCCGCTGGTCGACCAACCGGAACTCGCCCAAGTCGATCCAAATAGGTCGGTAGAGAGATTATCTATGGTCCTTGTTCCGGGGATTAAGTGGGTTTAATCGAGGTGCCCAGATGCCAACCGTTGTAAGTCCATATTCCGTGGTCTTAGCATCCTGACCATTGTATAATCTTCTCTCGCCACTTTGCAAAACTTATTACGTTTCTATCCACTCCGTTATTAGCTTCGATATACGTCCAGTTTGCGTAAGTGGAATTTACTTTGCAAACGTAAAAATCAATCATCTTTATATAGTATCTATTCTGTCGCAATCGTGCAAAATTTCCATCCGATAACTTGGTATTCCAAAACTCGCTTATATTCCTCGACCACAGACAAAGTCTGGATGGAGAAATAATAATTGTCTTTTCTTCTCTTTTGTAGATCTCACGCGAGATTCTATGATCCACCCCCTACCATGGCAAACTGTTGCAAAATTATCGGCGAGTCGTCACGGTTCAAAGAGCCGTTTTTCTTGGACGAGGCGAAACATCGTTCCGTTTTAGGTAAATAGAGACGGGAACAAACATGTTTTCGTTGCTTCGAAAAAAAAAAAAGAATAACGCAGCAGTCGATTCGATGCGTCAATAATCCTTTCTCTCCTCGACTTTCCTGCGCGTTTTCCATCCAGAGATCGATCCTAGAAGAGAGAACGTTAGAGATCGATCTTTCTACATTTATTCTTTCTTTTCCGTTTTCAAATTCGATACACCTACGTATAAAGTCTAGCTTCCTTCCCTTCTCAACGAATCGAAGATCGCTATAGCGGCTAGATCCGATCGAATAGAAATCGGTAAATTTCAAAGATAGACGAAACCCATTACAACTTGGAAGCGCAAAGTTTGACGAATCTCCCCCCAAAGATCCCCCAAAACAAGAGAGGATCGTTATTCCTCCGGTGAGACGATCCAAGCGGAAAGGATCCAACGACTGTACCGGTTAAACCGCGTTTCTCTCCATTTACCAGATACGATCGGCGGGTCGAGCGAGGAAGGGAAACTGGAATCCGACCGATTCGGCCAATCGAGGAGCGCGTCGCGTCGGGCGGACCCCGAGGAGGAGGAGGAGGCCGAGCCGGCCGAGTTGAGCTCCACCGCTCTGATCAGAACCATCTCCGAGGAGTCGCTGCCGCGCGAGATGCTCGAGGAGCCGGACGACTTCTTCGACGAGAAACTCGCCAAGGACGCGCGCAACAACATGAAGAAGTGTCTGGACGATTGGAAAACGAGCGGCACACCGCCGCCCAGCCCCGAGCCCAGGACCAAATCCGCCGTCCTCGATCCCGATCACTCCACCCTGTTCAAAATCCTGAGGGAGGAGGCGGCGGAGGAGAGCAACGTGAGCTCCATGACGCCCAGCCTCACCGAGTTGGAGGCCGCCTTGTCCGACATGTTGGAGAAGGAGGAGCCGCAGGAAGGCGGGAGCAGAGCCAACAACGAACAGATCCCGAAAATATTGGAACCCGTGATCGAGGAGTGGAGCAACAAGGATCGAAACGGGGCGGGGGAGAGGAGTCAATTCACGACGGACGAGAGGAAGGCGACGAGGGTGGCAGGGCGAAAGGTCTCCTTCTGCTCGTGGGAAGAGTCGATCGCGGCGGCCGAGTCCCGTCAATCGGAGAACGAGAAGACCTTTTCCACCGATATCCCGCCAAAGAAACCCAACAGATCGAACAAAAGCTCGGAGGAGGACTTTTCGAATCTCGTCCCGACACCCCCTCGAAGGAAGAACAAGAGTCTCGGCGTGGCGAGGAGGGAAGCCGAAACGGCGCAAAACGGCACCATCGCGCCCGACCACCACAACGACAGACTTATCTAATCGTCGATCTCGTTTTCGACAACGCGTATCGTCACTGTTCCGCGCTTACGAAACGAATGAGAAATCGCACCATTGTATATATCTTTCTGTACGTATATGTATATCTTATGTATCTATCCGTGTATGTACAATACATTTCAATCTGCGCTTCTTTCGACGAGATGAATCATTCGAAGCGACCATGCGATTACCAATCGTTTCGTGGCAAAGATTAAGTCGCTGTTTCAGTCTTGGACGAGATAGGCGAAGCTAGTGGTTCTTGGTTTCTCGATGCTAAACTTTCTAACGAACTCGCAACTTTTCCAGAGGAAGCGACACCGTCCTTCGAAAATCGCGAAACTTGCCTCGCAAACTTTCCGATCAACGAGGATCGCAGATGTTCGCGCCTTATTGTTGCCCACAGACTCTCGAACAACCCCCCATATTACCCCGAATTAGATCCAACCTTACGATTGCTCGCGTGGAGATGGCGATATTTATGGAATTGTATAATTCAATCGATATTCCAATCCTAATTTCAAACTTTGGAAAAACATTTCGCGTGCATCCATCTATTAATCCGAAGCGACACGGACTATTGATGGATGAGAGCGTGAAAACTATTTTTTGGTGGCAGCGTTTCGGAGGAAAAGCGAATTACGTTTGGAAGAGAAGTTTGTGTTCGAATTTGAATCTTCGCCTCGATTGATTGAACACGTTTGAAAGTAAACCAATACCGAGAAGAAATAACCACGAGATCGAATTAACGTCGGCGCGATATCTTTTCCCCAATTCTCCAACGTTTTCGAGAAATCGTTCCATTTATAGAGGACACGGTGTACAGAGGATGGGGTCAGCGTTTGGAATTCAGGAAGCGGCTTGTTCCGAAGAAAAAGCGGGACGTGATTGGACCGGGCGGAAGGAGCGAGTTTCTCGCCATCTCGACGGAAAGGTCCCTCCTCCCTTCGACCCCTCCGGCAAGATTAATCTCGTTCGAGACGGAGCGAGTTAAGTGCTCGTGACACACGAGGGTGCGTGGGATCCGCGTTAATCCGTGTATCGGCGAAGGGGCGAGAAGAAAATCTTTGAAATCTTATACATACGATTAATAAAAATACGAGTCGAAACGAGAGGGAGAAAATGAGCGAGGTAAGTAAATAATATCGATAGGATAATCGAAAGGATCGTTGGAATAGAAATTGGCGAGGGACAAGGAAAGTGGTACTGGAATGGAAAGAAGGTGCAACGACGTGAGAAACGAGGCGAAAGGGCGGAGTCTATCGATCGATTGGCATCGATTGGCGTCGTTACTCCCAGGTTTCGACTTACTCGTTACTTTTTTAATTATCTCCACGATCATTCGCCCCCTCCGGGTTATCGTTACGCGTTCGACGGAACCATCTTAATCGGTTTAAGGGGAAGCGGTCGGGCAACGAAGGAAACGAACGAAAGCAGCCGGAATTACGCGGATCGATCCACGCTCGCGCAACTTGCTCTAATTATTTCGTGTTTCATTAACCAGACCTCTTCCAGACGCGATCGAAACTTTCGAGATTACGAGAGGAGGCCTTCGCTCCCAACCGCCGCTTCTCCGACTTTGCCACCTTGTCCCACTTCCCAACTAACTTCCTTCCTCCGATCTCTCCTCTCCAAGATACACCCAAGTTTCCCGAATCGCGAAATCGAACCTTCTCCTTCGCCCGTTTATTAATTCGAAACAGGGGATAACTTTGTCCAGGTGAACGGGCAAAATATTTACGCGTCCCATTCGCGATATTAATCGATATTTATGGAACAAATTATGCTTCTAAAAGAAGAAGAAAGCCCACTCGGGCAAATGGAACGACATCGGAGGAGTCGATCGATAAATAAATTCTATTTAACTTTCCTCGATGAAACGAATTTTATTCCCGGATAATGGATAAACTTGGCATTAACGGACGAAAAAACCAAGTCCAAGTTTTCGAGAGAAAAATGGGGTGGAAATTGGTAAGCTCGTAAAGAATCCGAGCTTCTCGGTATTTTGCGAAATTAGCGCCAACGGATTATAGGTTCGGCCTGTACGTGACACTCCTATTAGTGTCGCAGAGGAGGGAGAATCAACTTCCCTTTCTTCCTCTTCTTTCTTCCCTTCCCTTCTCGAGTACAAAGTCCAGGCCGAACGCTCGATAGATCTGCAATTTCTTTGTGCCTCTCTAAATCTCGTTATCCTATTACTTGCACGAATTATAAGGTTCAAACGAGTTGTTAGTAGCTTCTGTTTGAGTAAGCAAATTGGACAATTAGCGAGTTCCCCTCTTTTCGCGAGATAAAACTTTTAACAATAATATAACGAAAAGCGAATTACCTTGCGCGTTCTACGCGACTTATCGCTCGCGTGTACGATAAATAATAAATAATCGAAAACATCGGGAATAAACCGGTCGATGCCGAAAATATTAAAACAGCAAAGGGAGGGAGGGGGAAAAAATCTATTTCCAAATAAAATCGGAATCGCGATAAAAAAACACGCAAAGCAACGGTGTACATTCAATTTTTATTCGACGATAACGCTGCAAGCTAGTGTCTAGTTTGCGATAAAAAAAAAAAATTTAGAAGCGATAGAAAAGGACGGCAAAAAAAATATACTCGATTACGCGCAATAACAACAGGAATTTATTTTTGATTTATTCCGCAATAACGATAGATATTAGAGGATAGAAAATTTAAAAGCGCTAGATCGGCACGTCGAAAAATTCATGCGAACGAAATAAAACCGCGACAAAAGCACATTTTTAAAATATCCGATATAATAACAACCGAGTAAAAAAGAAAAAACGTTAAAAAGAGACTTTCGAAAGATCAACGTATATTATTCCCAGATATATTTCTTTCTTTCGCGTTTCATATATAATGACTCGCGAAAACCTTCATTTCGATGAAACGAAAAACGGCGATATCTACACGCCTTCGACGAGTCGACTTGTTCCCGAACAAAGGAGCGTGGATCAACGCTGTTAATCCAACCCGCGAAGAAACCTGTCTCGAATCCCGCGTGTCCCCGATACCTCGAATCCCGTGCTCGAGAAGGATGGCATCGCGAGTTAAGCGGGCAAATTTATGGACTCGACCAACTATTTAGATAGGCGGGGGGATGGAACGCTTTTTGCCTACCTTCTCTCGTCCCCTCTTGCGCGTATTCCGAAGAACGAGGAAAGCGACCCCTCCTCGGTCTTCGACCTCTCCATACGCGTATCGCTCTCCCCATTATATCCCCCCGTTTCGTTCGCGCGGCAAAGTTGCGCGACGCATACCTCGAGTCGTGGCAACCCTTCCGGTGGCTTAATTAGTTTTTCGTCGACGGATAATCCGTGGGTGGGCGATTTGTCAAGGCCGGACTGGAATTAAGGGGGCGCGATTTCGAGGCGGCTCGCGAGATTAAGACGATATTTAAACGAGGAGCAGCCGCGATTCCGTTTCCGGTTTCGCATTTCGGCTTCCACCAAAGCCCATCGTGGATTTATTTTATCGCGAGATTCGAGCCGGGGCCAAGAACCAAGCTTACCCCCTTTCCAAGTTTCGCGGGGGTTGGGGGAGGTGGAATGCGGGAGAATGCAAGGCGGATCGAACTTCTCCCATGTTTTGTAATTGTACGGGGATAGAGTCGGTGATTAATAAGGGGCCACTGCGCAAATTTCTAAACTACTTCGAATTACCCGCTCCTCCCAACACTTGGAAATATATTTTTGGAAGGTGATTCGATCTACTTTGAATCCTAATTTCTACAATTTTACTTTGAATTATTCGTAATATCAACTCGTTACGTAGTAGTGATAACGAAATGCGAGAAAATGATGGAAGGTAAAGCAAATTGGACGGTGGACAACTGGTTCTCTCGTTCGTTTTAAATCTTGCCGCACTAGGAAAATTGAGGGGTCTTTAAGCGAGCCACGAAGATTTAATTCGAGTTCTGGATAGCCCGCATGCCGATAGCAAAGAGAAAGAAGATCCAAGTGCTCGTAAAACGGCTTTCACGAGATCAAACTTCGCCACGCGGAATCGATCGAGTCATCTCCTAAGCTTCCTCGCGTTTGTAAATATTACCTTTCGAATCGTAAAAATTGTATACGATTCTTATCATGTCTATAACGAAAAATTTCCAGAAAATTATAGAACGTTTCTTCCCCAATCTAAATCGATTTGAAACCATCTTTTTCAATTCGAAACAATATTTCTATCACAAATCTTACGCGCATAGAAGCGATCTCTTTCTTCGATCGAAAATTTAATAGATCGTATCGGCTTGTCGAACTTTAGAAAAAACATTTCGATCAGCATAGCATCGCAGTAACTTTGATATTGAAATTCTTCGAGAGTACCCATCGGAGAAAATGGTCAAGTATGTTCAGCGTTTGCCTTATAAGGGAAAGAATTCGGAACGAACCGATTTTTCCGGATAACGCAAAGAAATTTGATAATAGCTATTAAAATCACGAGTGATTCTTTACGAGTTCCTCGTAAAATTTCGTCAAAAATAGGACAACCGTGCAGAGATTTCGCGATAAATAATAAAAAATATAAACCCAGTTGCGTTATAGCTCGGGGAAAAAGGAAAAGGAGGAAAAAGTAGTAAGAAGCTACGAACGTTCGGTCGTAAGATCGTTCGTGGAGGAGGTAAAAAGAGTAGGGAGCGGAATCGAAGCAGTTACGACTCAAAGCTCGATCCTTTCTCTCTTTCCACGTTTCTCGGCTCGCCGTCTCCTCGGAATCGGTGCAACAACCGGTCCCGAGGGCGCGAACGCGGCGTCGAGAGAGGGTAGTGAAACTTTTACGGCGGCTCACCACGACCATTCGATATACGCACGGAAGAGAAGGTTTGCCACCAGCCGGGGTGACGACGCCACGTTTCAACGTTTCGATTCCGCGGGTGCATCTTTAATTGGCAATCTCGGTCTAGAAGCCAACGGTCGACCTGCACCGATAAGATTTCTCTTTCTCTCGTCTCACGTTAAATACGTCGCTTATTGAATCGCGGCGCGCTTTAAATCGATCAAT